AATGGTTACAAACATTAGAGGTGTTCTTAAATATGTGGGAAAGGTTTATAAAGCCTTAATATATATATAAATACTAAAATAAATATAACGTGGCTACTTTGCTGATTTTCACTTATCATGGAGGAGTCGAACATAACCTCCATGATAAGTGAGGAACCACTGTACTGTTTGTTATATGAACTGTAGCAAAATGTCACTGTTAAAAATAAATCTCTAAGGGCTGAGGAAACAGCACGGTGGTCTAAGAGCCTGCCTGACCAAGTGCAAGGACCTGGGTTTGATTCCCAGTGCCGCATGCAGTGCTGGCCCTGAAAGCAGGCATGGGGGTGCACGTCTGTAATCCCAGTACTGGGAAGGATGAGATGGGAGGATCACTATGAGTCCAAGCTGCCTAGTGAGATCTTGTACCAAATAAATAAATTAAAAAAAAAAAAAAACTTACAAAGTTTTAAAAAAATCCCCAAATTTAACATTTTATTATTATGAATAAGAAATCAACAAACTTCTCTTTAACTTTGATATACACATAAAAAGTTATAAAAACAAAAAACCGCACTGAAATACAAACACCTGGCTTATGCTTAAAGACTGAAAGTGAACCAGATTGCTGATAGAACTCAAAACATTCAGTCGTTTTTATTATGTAAAAGTAAAGAGCCTAAGCCATGTGCTTGTGCATGCCTGTAACCCCCAACAGTCAGGAGTCTGAGGCTGGAGAAATCCTGTTTGAGGCCAATCTGGGATGCTTAGAGTAAGTGAGGCCAGTCTGAACTACACAGGAAGACCCTGTCTCAAAAAACAAACAAACAAAAACCCCTAAATAGTCATACTACATATGTTTATATTCTAATTGTTTATGTTATCTTCTTATTGTAAAATAGATGATATGGGGCCAGGGATATAGCTCAACAGCATAAGCACCTGCCTGGCAAGGTCCTGAGTTCAATACCTGATACAAAAACCAAACAAACAAAAAAGATGAGATAGTTTGTGGAAATAATTTTATTTATTTTTGGACATAATTTAAAAAAATAGAAGATAACTATTGTACATTTTAACTTTTTTTTTTTGCGGTACTGGGGATTGAACTCTGGACCCTGCGTTTGCCAGGCAGGCACTTATTCTACTGAGCTATCTCCCTGGTCCCATTTTGTTTAACAATAGCTATCTAATTCTAGGCCATTTTGGCCCAGAAAAACCATCCAATATATTAAGTGGTATTTGTGACAGAGTTATTTGGAATTCAAGTTGCTAAATCAAAGGCAAGAACCAAGGTGTTTTGTTTTTTTTTTCAGTACAGGGGATTGAACTCAGGACCCTGTGCCTGCCAGGCAAGCGCTTATTCTACTGAGCTATCTAACCGGTCCAAGAACCAAGGTCTTACACAGAAATGCTCATGTGTTGAATGGAGAAAGTCTGAAGTGTGCCTCTAACTTCCCAAATTCTCACTTGCAGATTGTCATCATAGGCAACAAAATAACATGAGATTATACAATATCTATACTATGGAACTGGGGAAATAAACCGTGAGTGGCCCTAGATCTTCAGAAACTAGGTACGGCTAATTTTAAATCTAAGGGACAGATCTAATAAAGAAAACGACTGCTTCTGAGAGTACTTTAAGCCTCACTTCCTCTAACTGGTCATCTACGTTTTAGATTTTCACTGTATTTGCTAGTGTCTGATTTCCTGTCACAGGAGCAAAGGTGGGCACTCGCTCCG